GGGGCCCGGCGGTGGACCTGCAAGGCCGGCAGGAGTGCAAGGAAGCCCCATGAAGGCCCTCCCTGGCCCCAGGCAGGCAGGAGTGGGGAGAGGCGGGGAGGAAGCAACTTACCCTCCCTCTTCTCCTGCCTCCTCCTGGCTGAATGAGGGCCGGAAGCAGGGCGGCCGGAAGCAGGGGGCGGGGGTTCGTCATGTGCCCCGCCCCCCGCATCTCACCCGGGGGAACTGCAATCCCCCGTGATCCCCCTGAATCTACCTCTCTTCAGCCACCCGTTCTCAGGTCCATTCAGCATATAAAAATGAAAGTAAAACAAGAACTGCAAGAGGACCAAACTAAATCAGACAGATATTAAGGGAAGAGCAGACTGTTCCATTACACATAGCTTTGCCATTGGCTCCAGCGGGCTTGGGGGGGGAGAGAAGGCTGAAAGGGGCTTGGATCTCTTAGATTCAAGTCCCTTTCAGCCTTGCCATCAGCTCCCGCAGGCTTGGGGGGGGGGGAGAAGGCTGAACGGGGCTCGGATCTCTTCGATTCAAGCCCCTTTCAGCCTTGCCCTGGGCTCCCATAGGCTGGGCGGGGAGAGACAAGCTGAAAGGGCATGTCTCCCCGCCTCCTCTTCCTTCTCCAGCGAGCCCGTCACAGTAGGCTCACTGGAGAAGGAAGAGGAGGCAGGGATTCATGCTTGGCTTCCCGGCTTGGTCTCCTCCAGGTGCCCTGCGGCCGCGGGGAATCTGGAGGAACTCCAGCAGGGAAGCCAGGGATTTAAACCCCCCCCCCCCAGTCTCTCCGCAGAAGCAGAGAGGCTCAGCGGGCAGGCAGGCATGTCTGCCTCCATGCGCTCCCTGTCTCCAGCCAACCTGCCGTGCCGGGATGGCTGGAAACGGGGAGGGCATGGAGGTAGTCATGACTGGCTTCCCTGCCCCAGTTTCTCTAGGCTGTGGGGCACCTGAAGGAGCTTGGGCAGGGAAGCCAGGGATTTTTTTTTTAAAAAAGTCTCTCTGCAAAAGTGAAGAGCCTCAGGGGGGAAGGCAGGCGCGTGGGTTGGGGAGCTGGGGGTGGGGCTTGCTGCCACCTGGGCTGGTGGAGCAATGCTCCAGCATGCTCCGGCCCCAAACGTCCCCTGGTTCTTCCATTTCATATGGTAGCAACAACATGTTTTTCCCATCAAAACATCAGTATCACCTTTCACTTCATTTTGCTGAAAAGGAAGCCGTGCATACTATTCCCACATAATGAGTACTAGCATAACTCAAGCATTACTAATATTCAATGGTATTATTGAGATTAAAAAGTTGCTCCATGTGGAATTCAGCTCATCATATTTCCATTTTGTTGCTTTTAATTGGTTCCCTATGCTTTTTGAATGCAACATAACATTTCTTAGGGAAGACCTTATTATGCTAGCTAAACATGTTTACTACAACAGTTGTCCTCTATTGAATAGCTTAGCGTAAAAATGTACCCAGACCCAGTATCATTATATATTTCAGTAAACTAATTCTTTATACACACAAGTTTCCTCCAGAAAGCCCAGCATGACACTGTGGTTTCATTGCAGTCTTGTTTCCGATGCAAGCTGAACATGAAGGAAGGAGACCCAGCTGTCTATGCCGAACGTGCTGGCTATGACAAGCTCTGGCACCCTGTTTGTTTTGTCTGCTGTACCTGTGGTGAACTCCTAGTAGATATGATCTACTTCTGGAAGAATGGCAAGCTGTACTGTGGCAGACACTACTGTGACAGTGAAAAACCTCGCTGTGCTGGATGCGATGAGGTAAGCAGAATTCCCCTTTTGTTTATCCTCCCCTAAGTTCATTCCATGAAATCTTTGCCTATTAGAAATGCTTTGTTGGATTAGGCCAGGGATCAATTTAGTCCAGTTCTCCTTGGAAGCTTGCAAAGTGATGGCCTGCTACAGGCAGTAGTGGTGCATGAGAGTTCAGTGCAAGCGCTGTCTATGAGGGCTCCTGCCCTAGTTTAAGCGTGCCATAGATCAGTGCTCCCTCTAAGCTGTGGAGTCTTGTGAGCGGAAATTCTACTCTGTGAGCATTAAAGTTGTGAGCTAGCGATTTGGCTACTGCATAAATTAATTTGCTGTGGAGCCATCCTTCTTGAGTGAAGACAAAAATGGGTGAGCTGGAGGCTAAAAAACTGTGAGCTTGCTCACATTAACTCATCTTAGAAGGAACACTGCTGCAGAGCAATGTTGCCTCTGCCATGTGTGATACCCAATGGGTCAGCCATACATGCAGGGGTCATTTCGGGAGGAAACGCGGGGGATCGCCGTTCCCCCAGGTGAGGTGCGGGGGGCGGGGCACATGACGAAGCCCCACCCCCAGCTTCCGGTCGCTCCGGACTGCTTCCTCGCACTCCTCACCGGGATGGTAACACACAGCGCATCCTCAATACAGGCTCTAGCAGCAAGAAAGGAAGCTGAAGAGGAAGGTAGGTGGGAGGGAATACCCCCGGCTCCAGCATGAAGGCTCTCGTAAAAGATGTGTGAGCAAGCGACGCGCCACTGCCGTGAGAGGCTCCTCCGCAAACAGCAGCCACAGATCGGCGGGCTGGACGGGCTGCTCCGCTGGATCGTCACCAAGATGAGCGACCAGACCATTCTCCCTGACCGGGAGCTCCTGCAGGAGGCCACCAGACATGCCGCCTGCGTCCCCAAGCAGAGGAAAGGCGCCTCCATGATCTTGGATGTGAGTGGGGCGCCTGGGAGGTTTTTCAGAAAACGGCGTTTTCCGCTCTGATTCGCCTCCCGTTGTTTGCTGCCTCCCCCCTCCGGCAGAGCTGCCAGGAGAGAGGCTCCCGCTGGTGCCCCAGGCAAGGGGGGCTTGGCCGCCCCCAACAGGGCAGCTGCAGGTCGGAGGAGCAAAGGCATCAGAATTAAATTGGCAATTCCGACGACCCCCCCTCCCTCCAACTGTCCTCGCAGTTGCCAGGCGACTTGAGAATTCCCCCCCCCCCCGCGCGCCCCTGTTGGCCCAAACCTCCATGTGCAGAGGCAATCTATCTGTGGCTCGGAGTGGGGCAGACCACTAGCGAAGGCTGCCGCCGGCTTGCCTTACCCAGTTGGAGAGCTTCTCGGAGCTCTGTGGGGCTGGGTGGATTCTGATCTAGCAAGGCTTTTTTTCGGTGAACTCCTTGGAGGGTCTCCCCGCCCCAGCGGATCCACACCATGCCTACAAAAGGCAGAAAGGGCTCTGAAGGAAAGTTGTGGCTTCCTTGAGACGGGAGGGTTCTGCCCTCGTTTTGGCTCCAGAGATTAGAGAGGCGTGCTTTGCGCTGCGAAATTCAGTCCCAGGCACTGAATACAGTGGGACTGGCAGGATGATGAACTTCTTCCGTCTTTCGCTGTTTTGAAAAAGCCGCCCTTTTCCAGCTCTCTGAGGGAGGTGTGTTCACGTCATGCCTCATCTAGGCGCTCTGCCTTTTCTCTGTCAGCTGCGTTACAGGCAACGTTCAACAGCTTCCTTGCAGGGCATTTTGAGTGCCTAGAAAGGCCCTGTTGAATTTCTGCTTCCCGAGAAGTTGTTACAGATGCAAGAATCCCACTAGATAAAAAGAGCCAATTACAAAAGGACCAGGTCATAGGGGAAGTGAAAGACCTCCACCTGTGACGCTGGAGAGCCGCTGCCGGCACGGCTGACTTTGAGGGACCAAAGGTCTGATTCAGTAGAAAGCCACTTCAAATGTGCTTATAACCAGTACTCCCTCTAAGCTGTGGAATCTTGTGAGCAAAAATTCTGCTTTGTGTGCTCCTGGCATCAAAGTTGTGAGTGAGCGATAGGGCTCCTGCATCAGTTACTTTGCTCTGGAGCCATCCTTCCTGAGTGAAGACAAAACTGGGTGAGCCGGAGGCTAAAAAAACGTGAGCTAGCTCACGCTAACTCAGCTTGGAGGGAACACTGCATTTAACCACAGCCTTCTCCAGTGACTTTTACTGCAGTTTAATCCTTTTTTTTCCCCTGGGGGGCTCAGCCACAGAGGTCTCCCCTGCCCCGTTGGATCCTGGCCACAGGCCGCTGAAGTGGGCTGCCAGGACAGCATCTGCCCTGGGACAATTATGCCCCTTCAGAGATTTTAATTCTAGCATAAACTCCCACACGCTGTTCTGCTTTCGCTGGAAGGTAAACAAGATCTTTGCGGTCTCTCCCTGGGCCTGCAGCATAACCACAGTAAAGGACATGAATCTGCCACAAGCCCAATGTGAACACTGCTTGAAACGGAAATAAGTTGGATGCTGGGTCAAGATCTGTGGGAGGGGATCCTGCGTTCAAGGTGCTGATACCAAAAAGGCCCCGTCCGTACTCTGAAATTGGGAGCATAGCATGAGACCGGCCTTGTTGGCTGATCTGTAAGAGGTGTCCATCTTACTTTCCCCCCTGCCTGACTCTAGATTCTTCCTCCACTTATCACCCTCCCCCCAAGCTTGAGAGGAAGCTAAAATGCTTAAAGTGGGTGGTGGGTGGGAGGGAACTGGAGTTACACACATTCACCCTTAGATGTAAAGTGTAACTCACCAGGGTCCGTAATCTCCCGCAGTGGGTAGGTGGTTGTTCCCATGATGGGGGAAGAGTGGCGAAAGGATTCTTTGGGAGCCAGTTTGGTGTAGTGGTTAGGAGCGCGGACTCTAATCTGGGAGAACTGGGTTTGATTTCCCACTCCTCCTTCACATGCAGCTGCTGGTGTGACTTTGGGTCAGTTACAAGTTGTTTCAGAGCAGTTCTCGAAAGAGCTCTCTCAGCACCACCTACCTCACAGGTGGGGAGGGGAAGGAGATTGTAAGCCGCTTTGAGACTCCTTCGGGTAGTGAAGGGTGGGGTATAAATCCAACTCTCTTCTTTTCTCTTCTTGAGTAACTGTGCATTTTGATTGATGATCTGCGCTGTCTGTTACTCAGCGTCTGCACTTTGTGCCCACAAGCTTTCTGGTGAGGTTGTTGGTGTGCCACGAAGCTTTGTCCATCTTGGAAGTGGGTGTTTCTGCTATCATGATGGTCCATACAATCCATTTGAAACAATGATTTATGTTGGCACCATTCATAAGGTCTCTATAAACCACCGTTACTAGAAGAATAAAGTTGCTAGAATCCTCTTAAAATTTACTGCAGGCAGGGGGTGTGGCCTTATGACACACTTCCGGTGATGTCAGGGGGTGTGGCCTTATGACACACTTCTGGTGATGTCAGGGGGTGTGACATATGCTAATGAGTTATGCTAATGAGTTCCCTAGCTCTTTTTCTACGAAATGACCCCTGCGTACGTGTGATTTTCCTTAGTAGATGAGGTTTCTCACTAATAGATTAGTCTAGTGGCACTTCTGTGTTACTTTTTCTTTGACATTAGTCAAAGTCTTCCATTGGCACACATTGGTTTTTACAGGTCCCTAGAAAGGACTGGCAAACATTGTCTTAAATAAATTCATTTTTGCTAATGGAGTACTTCTTAATTTATTTAGGGCATTTCTAGTTCATCTTTCTTCACAAATGGACTCAAGGTGGCTTACAGTAGTTTAAAAGCAAAGCCATTAAAAATGTATAATTCCTGGACCAGAGACAACATTGAAGATCATAAGATTATCAGCATCTTCAGCACAGATTTGGCTGTCAATTAAGCATCATTTGTTTAAAAGCCCTTCTAAACAATTCTGTCTTATATAATTTCCTAAAATTTAACCAATTGGATGCCTTCCCAACAGACTTAGGAAAGCTATTCCAGAAACTGGGAGCCTGTGCAGGAAATGACTGAATGTGGGCAAAACCTGCTTGCGCCTGTCTATATGACAGCATAATCAACAACTCCTGGCCAGAGGGAACATTTCCCATTTTTAAAATTCCTGGAAGAATAAAATAATTTTGCGGGCTGATGTCTGATAACCTTGTCTTTCTCCCATAGCTAATATTCAGCAATGAGTACACCCAGGCAGAAGGTCAGAGCTGGCATCTGAAACACTTCTGCTGCTTTGACTGCGACTGTGTCTTGGCCGGAGAGATCTATGTCATGGTAAATGAAAAGCCTGTCTGCAAACCATGCTACGTGAAGAACCATGCTGTGGTAAGAGAATCAAGGTTGCCCAGTATCCACAGTTCTAGTGTAAATTCTAGTTGCTTGTACAAATGTATTTTACTTTAGCTTTCCCAGGGTAACAGTTTCTTGAGGGACCACAGCCAAAGCGCAGAGGAAGTGGGAAGAAGCCCTGATCACAAATTACAGTGAATGTGTGCCCAATCTGTGTACAGTGTATGCTTGATTTTTCTTTAAACATAGGTTAATTAAACACATATACAATTGAATCAGGGATAGGATTTTTTTTTTTAAAAAAACTTGACCCTATGCCAATTTTCATTGTATTTAATTGTGGTATCCAGGATTGGTTTCATCAGTACTTCAACTTGTATATGTCCTAACTTCATTTGACCTTACAGTGACTCATGACCTGTTTATGTTAAGGCTTGAGGTTATGGAAAGTTTCTTTTTATACAAGTTCCCAGTCATTATTTGTTAAGTGGCTTGTGGGAGTGCTGTTCAAGAGCCCTCTTAGACAAGGGGAACTAGTGGAGAAAGCATTTTGAACTATGCCCTATGGGGCATTGTGATTCTCACTGAATATGGAAAATGCAAGACTCAGAGGTAATGTAGTTTGAAGGAGCTGGAGAAAGCCCATAAAGTCCTCTTGCATAGCATGCAAAAACACCAGTACCCATTCAGGGTGAGTGGCATCGTGTTCAAGTTGCATAGTCCTCCATCGTTGCCCTGCATGTAGAGAGCTTGAAAAAAACTTCAAGATAAAGCCTTTGGGTACTTTGGGTATGTTGGAAATCCACTTGTGTAGCCATGCTTTGGTGGTCAGCTGAGCAGAGACGAAAAAGAGAGTGATGCTTAACAAGTGCCATGAAGCAGTTTATTGAAGTAGGTCTAGTGCATTTGGGTGTACAATGTTCTTTGAAGGTAATCCTCTATATCTCATTCTCTCACTGTGCTGCTTGCCATTTGTGTAGTGTGTGTGTGTGTGTGTGTGTGTGGCAGTTCATTGCATTCTGCAAAAGGTTAGCCATTGTATGTCTTTTTGGTGAGCACTACTTTGGAGGTGGTAGTATACAGATTAAGAGAGTTTACCTTAATATGAGAACATTGTTTTCTTACCTCTTTCCCCTCACTGTTGTTTTTTTTAATATTTCAAATCCAGAGTAATGTGTATTGTCACATATCAGATCATGCTGCAGTTTGGATCCCTACCCCCATTTTCGCACATGTGTGTTTGCTTCGCTTTTTCAAAATATTTTCTTTAATTGCACTTTCTCACCAAATAAATGATTATTCCATGGAACATACAAGCAAACACTGTGATATGAATAACTAGAATATTTAGTAAAGATCATATTATATTATAAACAAGGGGGGGACCCGCGATACTCGCGGGGGGGAGTCTCTCCCCCTTCCCTCTCGCCCCCTGTTCTCTCTCTTCCCCCCGTCTCTGTCTTTCCCCCATTCTCTGTCTCCCCCCCCAAGAACAGACCCTTGGAGGCCTGAAGGGGCGGCGCGAGAACCATTGCGCTTGGCTGCCCCTCTCCCGCTCCGTGGGACTTGCGAGGAACTCCGGGCGGGCCGGGAGGCAGGGAGGGAAGCTGCGCCGTTCTCCCGCTGCCCGCTGCCCTGTGTGACCAGCAGCAGCTCTCCGGCTTCGGGAGGGGAGGGAGGGAGGGAAGCCGCGCCGTCGCCCCTCGCTGCTCTCCCCAAGAGTGCACAAAACTCTCCCTGCCCCCCAGGTCGCCCCGGAGCGCGGATTTAGCGATCCGCACAGACGGGGCGACTTGTGTATTAGATATATAGATAAAACTTTACAATATTACAAGGGAAAGTCCATCATTCTTAATGAGCACCCGGATATAAGCTCATTTCGTCCCAGTCTTCCTCAGGAGTAATCCTATTGTATTGAAAGGTGTCATCCTCTTGATACAGCTCAATGTTATGTTAGGAGCAAACCAATACTTAACTTAATTTTCTTCCAATTATCTTGGAAAAAACCCATGGTATTTAAAATGAAAAAATTATATTCCATTCAGATCCATGTTGCTTTTAATTTTAAATACCATTGTTATTTCCCAAGATAATTGAAGAAAATAAAGAAGTTAAGCATTGATTTGCTCCATGGATAATGTATCCAGCCTGTATGTAGACTGTATCACTTCAGACTACATATGTGGGCTCTCATGATTAAATGATCCCAATGGGGGAGGGGAAGCCATGTGGAAGATTAGCATGTTGGGGATACAGATTATAGCCTTTCCCCCCCTTACATGTTAGTTTCGTGTGTGCAGGAGGATGCTTCTGTATGGGGTTTACTTCAATGGTGTGATACCTCCTGAAGTGGTACAGCAGCATGGGTTGATCACCTTAGAATGGAGCCACTGAACTGTCTCATTCAACACCCTAAATGGGTACAAACTCTGTTATAACAGTCCAAATGTTGCTCAAAGATAATCCTGTCTCTGATCTCACTGGATTGGAATAAAAAAAATGATGCACAGTTTCAGGGAAGAAGATTTTTGTAACAGGTCCCTCTTGAGCTGTAACCAGGGTCCTAAGGACATTTATTTAGAAGTAGTCTGTTTGATTTTTGCTGTGGATTGGTATAGGGCTAAAGCTTTTGATTGGGATAATTTGGAAGCTTCTTCATGTGGTATTGATAAATGGCAGCACAACATTTGACAGTGGAAGAAGAACATGGAATGGTACAGAAGTGTCCCCAGTACTGGAGTTTGTGAAGTCCGGAAGAAGCTCCCTGTTAGATTCTTCACTAAGTGGCTGTAACCTTTCCATTCTGGCTTCTGTAGAAATGACTGCTTAGCTCAAAGCAGCTTCTGTTCAGGTCACTCTCTTAAGATCTTTGGTTTACGCACATGCATATCTGGCTTGCGAGTAGAATCACCTCAGCCAATAATAGTCTGGCTCAGTAAAGAATGGTGTGTTTACCTCCCTCCCCCCCCCCCCCCCCCCCCGCCATGGGTACCTAAATGTAAACTACTGTGTAGAGTTACAATGAATATGCTTTTTGGATTTCAGAGTCCTTCTTGACATCCATGTATTGGGTGTATATTTTTAGCATTGTAGAAATTTCAGGGAGTCTCAGGCATTCTTATTTACCTTGACGAGTCTAAATGGTCTTCTGCATAACTTCACATGACTGTGGCATTCAGAGCTACTAACACTATAACCTTCTCAAGAAATACACAGGGGCCAGTTTACACACTATCGCCATCAAGTGGAGGTCTCTTGAAATCGCTCCCTGTAATGGGCTGACACTGAGTGCATAACTAGTAGATTGCCGATCCCACAGATTTTGCCTGGTCTGCCTGCAGTGTCACTTGGATAGAGAGTTTTTGGAGCAGGAAAACAAACTCATTCTGTTCCCCGCTCCCCGCTGTTTCCTTATTGATTATTCCCTCTTGTAGGGTGTTTGGTAGCCTCTGCCAAATCATAAATTTTCTCAGTGTGATTCCCGACTTTGCAAAGTAGATGTCTTCCTAACACATTCAAGAAGGCCATTCCAAGAGCTGTAAAGGAAGGCTTTTGGACCAGTACTTCCGTTCATGTTCCAGGTGCTGTGCAGCTGGTAACTAGGGGAGGGGTACTTTTTTTTTTTTTTTTGGTCTGTCTGTCTTCTGTTGGGTGGGATGCTTAGTTATTTTAGTTGTGTGCCGTTTTAGTATCATGGTGAACCGGTACAAGTGCTGTCACAGAAAGGCAAGTTTGAAAACATTTTTAATAAACAAACAAGATTGCCTTCAAAGGCAAATGCAGAGTGAGACTGATCATCCCAGTACAGCCCTGCTTCTAACCTGGGGAGCATTTCATTAATATAATTTAGGCTGTTTTAAGCTGAGGCTTGTTTTTTATGGCCTGCTTAATGGCCGTTGGATATCTTTCACACTTTTTTATTTAGTCATCTATACCCCACTTTTCACCACAATGGGGCTAAGAGCCTGTGACTGGACCCAGGTTGCTCTTCCATGGAAGAGTGGAGATTTGAACCTGGTTCTCTCAGATCACAGTCCAGTACTCTAACCGCTACGCCACATTTGCTATCATGTGATTGTTTTACTTTATTTTGTGAGCCATCTCAAATGAAGGGGGGGGAAGGAGAAAAATTTTATTGTCTAGGAGGCTTCTAGTAAGCCCTCCAGGTAGGGTTGCCAACCTCCATGTGGTGACTGGAGATCTGGGATTACAGCTCATCTCCAGGCAAGAGAGATCAATTCACCTGGAGGAAATGGCTTTTTTGGAAGGTGGACTCTGAGGCATTAAAGTTCCTCCCCCTCCCCAAACCCTGCCCTATTCAGGTTCCACCCCAAAAATCTCCAGGTATTTTCCAACCCAGAGCTGGCAACCCTACCTGAAGGTTTTTCAGTAAAGAGGCATTTCCAGCAAAAGCCATTTGAATTTTGCTGAAGGCCTTTCTTCCAATATGGCATGACAGTGCCAAGTAAAAAAAGCACCAAAAATAGTGCTGTAAAGTGATGTTCAACTGGCATGGGTGATTGATGTCCATTGTGACATTCTGATTATGAACAGGGCCGGCCCGAGGTGTTTCTGCACCCTAGGCGAGGCCAGCTTGTGGCGCCCCCACATGATGCCAGCCTCCCGGTGGGGCCTGGAAACCTCCCAGAAACAGGCCCGGGAGGGGGGGGCACAGGCGCCAGTGTTCCCTCTAAGGTGAGTTAGTGTGAGCTAGGTCACAGTTTTTTAGCCTCCAGCTCACACATTTTTGTCTTAGCTCAGGAAGGAGGGCTCCAGAGCAAACTAATTTCTGCAGTAGCCAAATTGCTGGCTCACAATTTGAATGCCAGGAGCTCACAAAGTAGAATTTTTGCTCACAAGACTCCACAGCTTAGAAGGGAGCATTGCCAGGCACCATAAGCTAGCCTCACCGCTGCCCAGGTCCTGGACCGGGAAGGAGCCTCGCCTCGCCTCGCCACCCTTGCTGGCCCACCGTCGAGGGGCTGGCTGGCCGGCCTCACTTTGCCAAGGCAGGCAGCGGCGCCGGCCTTGGCCGGCCTCCCCAGCTGAGCCGCTGCCTCTGCAGGAGCCGACAGGAACAAAGAAGGGGGAGAATGGAGGGAGGAGGAGGAAAGAAGAGAAAACGTGAGGATGATTCCGAGTTTGGCTTATCTGGTCTGCTTGAGGCAGCACTTTCCCCAATACTATTGACCTCTCTGCACATTTCACCCCCATGGCCATCGTTTCCAAGAGAGGTTTCCTGTCTCTGTGGAAACTCTCCGTCTCCGGAGCCCGGAATGTTTGTCATTTGATTCAGGCAAGACGCGTCCAGTGGGGAGGGGAGGGCCAGGCAGCCATAGGGGCAGCAGCGCCAGAGTGAGCTTGGAGGGGGTGGGAGTGGGCGGGGCAGAGGCTGCCAAGTTGTGAGCAGAGGCTGGCTGAGCAGGGCTTTTGGCAGGGGTGTGACTGGGGCGGCACAGGGCGCACGGGCAAGGCGGCGGGCAGCATGGGCTCGCCACGCGTTGGGGCTTTTGTTGGGGTGGGGGGGAGGGCAGCAGTGCAGTTTGGAGCAACTCACCCACTGTTGCTTCTGCGACCCACATGAGGCTTGAACCCACCCGACTCCTCCCCTCGCAGACAGCCACCCGGAGGAGCAACTTGGCCTGGGGCGCTTTCTCGCTGGCCACCCCGCGGACCCCAGTGGGAAGGAGGCAACACAAAGTCGTGCCCTCTGCTTCCCTCAGCCCAACAAGCCAGGGTGGCTCTGAAGGTTGCCGCCGCCGGAGAGGCGCTGGGCTACCAAGCACCCTCCAGCCGAGGCTTTCTCTTGCCATCTCTGTCTGCCCTCCCCCGGCATGCCAAATAGCTTCCCCCTGCGATGCTGCACCCAGCACCCACCACTGCCACTTCCTCCTATCGGGTCCAGTCTGGCGCCCTAAGGTCCGGCTCGCACTCTAGGTGAATGCCTACACCTAGCAAGTGAGCCGGCCCTGATTATGAGGACACTAAGTATTATAATATAGTAAGCAGAAATAAAGCTTACCTATGAAGATTTCTCATATTTAGACCTGACACTGAGCTTCAAAGCTAAGGAAGTCTCTCTCTTCTACTGCTATGTACTTTACATAAATACCCTGAATGATGGCACCTGCAAATACACTTAAAGAGCCCCTATCTGTATTAGTCAAACACTATATTCCATCCCTATTTCTTAATGAACCTATTAGGGCTCTTTTTGTAGCAGGAACTCCTTTGCATATTAGGCAACATGCCCCTAATTAGCCAATCCTCCAAGAGCTTACAGAGCTCTTCTTACAGGAGCTACTGTAAGCTCTTGGAGGACTCGCTACATTAGGGGTGTGTCGCCTAATATGCAAAGGAGTTCCTGCTAGAAGGCCACTTATAAAATCATAAGAAACAAGCATAGTCTATTGTATCACTGGGAAAATTGTTCTACTATTGTATCACTGAGATATTGTATGGTTCTGGCTGTTATGCCTTGTTTGTATTTTTGTATATTTTTGGCTATAGTGCCTGAGTGTATTTGCTTATATATCTGAGTGCTTGAGTGGGTTCACCATTCTGGTTTCCCCCCCATTTGCTGCTAATTTGTATTCTTTGTACTGGGAGATCTGCTGGGAAGGAGATAGGTTTGCCAACTCCAGGTGGGAAATTCCTGGAGATTTGAGGGATGGAGCCTGGAGAGGGTGAGGTTTGAGGAGGGGTGTGGGACCTCAGACAGGTACAATGCCATAGACTCCACCCTCCAAACCAGCCATTCTCTCCTGGGGAACCATTGCTGCCAATCTCCAGGTGAGGGCTGGCGATCACTCAAAATTATACCTGTTCTTCAGGTAACAGAGAGCAGTTCCTCCGGAGAAAATGGTGGACTTGATGTCATTATACCCTGCTGAGGTCACCACAGCAAATTGACACTGAGTTCCCAAGGCCAGGGCACCCGCCCAGAGTCTCTTTCTAGAGCTCATTGTATTTATTTCCACAACAAGCATTATTCCTAGTTTGCTTATATATCTGAGTGCTTGAGTGGGTTCACCATTTTTGCTGCTAATTTGTATAGATCCTAGAGGATCAGAGCAGATTGAGCAGAGTCATGATTGAAGCAACAAGTCAGTCCTTCTCCTTCTAATACTGATTTTTAAGTTATGTGAATACTTAATAAAGTTCATCTTACGTTATACCATATCCTGGATTCTGAAAGTTATTCATAAAGAATGTGACGCTGGTTGCGGCCAGAACACCTTCTGTTGAGTGTGGAACATGTCTGTTAATGTGGAAAATAATTAATTTGGTTTCCTTATCTGTTCACCAGGTCTGCCAAGGTTGCCACAATGCGATTGACCCAGAAGTTCAACGTGTGAGCTACAACAACTTTAACTGGCATGCAACCACAGAGTGTTTCCTGTGCTCTTGTTGTAGCAAGTGTCTTATTGGCCAGAAGTTTATGCCAGTGGAAGGAATGGTCTTCTGCTCAGTAGAGTGTAAGAAGAAGATGATGTCCTAAGTGGAAGAATATCCAGATGGAACAAAAGCTTTGCCTTACTTTAAAGTCCTCTGTATTTCTACTGTTCAGGTGTAATATTCTGGGACATTTTTCACAAAATCTGGCATAATAATCTAACATGGCAAATGCCAAAGATTTTACATTACACACTTGATAGCTTTTGATTAGTACTTAAGCATTTCTGTATTCTTAATGCTTTCGATTTATTCTTGCAAATGTAGGAAGCTTAATATTTTCTATGAATTTCACTGGGTACCCAAATTTGGGTGTGATGCAGCTTAGTTTATCATGAAAGCCTTACATGAAAAGCAAGACAGACATCATCATGTGTCTACTGCTGGACTGTATCACTTCAAGCTGTAGTGAAGTGACATACGGGGGGGAATGAAATCTCCCAACATATGCAGAACTAGCACAAAAAACATGTTAATCTGTCTCTGACTCGTTACACATTTGCAGGAAGTCTTTAAAGTGTGGAACAGCATTAAAACGTTTGAAACCCAAATGTATTATGGAGTGGTACAGTCCATCCAGAAATAAACCATGTTGGCTTGCTCACTGCTGTATGGCAGTTTTAACATAATAAAGATGAATTATTTTAGAGGGTTTCCACTTTCCTTGAAATCTTTAAAAGAAAGTCTTTTCTGTTGTGGCACAGCCTTTGATTATTGTATGAAATTGCTCTCATTATTCATTAAATTTAAACTGTATGATATTTTTAATTACTTGTGCATCCTATTAGACTGAATTTTGTCAAGAAGCAAATGTGTATTTTTTGTCCATGACATCTGGCTTCTCTCAGTCACATTTCATATGGACAGTTGGTCTTTCTTTCTGAATGTCTTATATACAGTAACAGGAAACATTTAAATTTGCACAAGAACTTGCTGATACAGAGGAGCCATATCCAGGACGTATTTGTAGCATGGTAAGCTTGCTTCCACCCCAAATTGAGAAGAATACATTCAAAAAATGAAGGACTAACAGTGCAATCGTAAACAGTGTTACACTTCAAAATCCACAGAATGCTCAGGAGGGTGTGACTCTGTTTAGAATTGCATTGTCAGTTACACAGCCTTTTCTGGGAGTAGAGTATGGGGGTAGAATGACTCCTAGGGACTAGTGTTCCCTCTAAGCTGAGTTAGTGTGAGCTAGCTAACAGTTTTTAAGCCTCCGGCTCACACTTTTTTTGTCTTAGCTCAGGAAGGAGAGCTCCAGAGCAAACTAATTAATATAGTAGCCAAATTGCTCGCTCACAGCTTTAATGCCGGTAGCTCACAAAGTAGAATTTTTGCAGACAAGACTCCACAGCTTAGAGGAAACGTTGCTAGGGACTACAGCAACCAGGGGAAGGGAAGTAAGTGCTCTGGTGAGGTTTCACCACTAGCTGCATATTCCATGTAGCCCCCACATCACCATTCAAAATCAGCTATAAATTACAACAAAACCAAATGCTGGGTGAAACTGTTCAAAAATGAAATCTTTGATAGATTCTGTAACATCAGAAACCAAAGCCATGTGTTCTTGGAGGTTGCAACAATTTTTGAACATTTCCAGTTTTTCAGAATAGACCCCCAAACGTGCCCCCTTGATGTGGTAGGAGGCCTAGAAATTTTGAGGAAAATGACGTACAGTGGTTTGGATTCAGAATAAAACCTCCCTCCACTTTCCACAGATGCAGGTCCTGAGGGATAGGGGACCCCGAGGAACAACATGAAGGGGTCTGCAGAAGGAAGGAGGGAACCAGTGGAAATGGCCAGTTTAATCTTGGTCCAGTCCTCTGCAGTCCTGAACAAATCTACAGCATTGATTTCAATGGACCTAGAAAGGCATAACTCAGTTTAGGACTGATAGGAAGCATAATGGTAGTAACATACTGCTATTTCTTAACAAGACCATAAAAAGGTACATAGCAAATTGTGGCAGCCATGCAGACTGTGACAAAATGAACGAACAAGTTTTTGGTGTGTAAACTATGCACAATTTCAGTTCAGTTTTTTAGACAGATCCGTTATGCCTTTATTATTTCTCTCAAAACATTATGAGGGGGGCCATTTCCATAGCTTTGTTCATTCAAAATGTTCATATACTGAGGTGGCTTTCAGTGAGAAACAATAAAAACTATCACAAAAAAGGAATTGTAACACCCCAACAAAAACATTAAAAATAGCAATGTCTAATAGAAGCATAGTGTCTTATATGCCATCTATGGGACTGCAAGAGAGAGAGAACAGGAAGAAGCCAGCCTCTCTTCCATCAGGCCCTGGTTGCAGTTTCGGCTGTGAATCCCTCTCCTAGTTTCCATCAGTAGGGCCACAGAGGCAGGACAGGAAGCAGCCAGGCACTGCTTCATTTTTCCTGGGCCCAGCTGAGCTGAGAATCTCCTTTAAAAAGAACATCTGTATTAAATGTTAATATAATTTGCATTTTTAAAACTCTTGTGAGCTGCTTCGGTAGCCAAGTTTGACTGAGAAGGTTTATAAATAGAATAGAAGTGTTCCAGTAGCATCTATTTATTTATTTTGCCTTTTGATCACTGTAATGATTCTGTTTTTCCAGTAGGGGGCAATAGCTTCCAAGGCAAATGAAATCTGAATAATTGCTGAAAATGTTCAGTATGAGGGTGGTCAAGAAACTTGGGACTTTCCCTTGCATGGTGTTTAGACAGTCTGTACAAACAGGCTCTACTCTGTAAGAGAGTCTGCTGAATTTTTAGCTTCTCATACAAATTATAGATTTGTTCTTGAAATCTTCCAAAGAAATGCTAGTATTTAAGGACTGAATGTTCATGCCATATTGACAGCACAAATCCATGGGCATGTTTCAGAAGTTCCAACACACACACATGAACAGGACAAATGCTTTACACACCCACTTGGACAATCCTCTGTGCATAATTTTTCTTAAGGGAAGCATGCTGTTCTGCATGTGGAAGTTTTGCATTGTGCCCCAAGCAAGGGAGTTCTCATGGGAACCCAGAGAAAATATACTTTGGTTTTTGGTTTTTTTAAAGAGAAATGACTGCATATGTGTTTTCCACTTCTCCATGGTCCATCTCCATTGGAAAAAACAATAGCAGCTATGGGATACATGGTGGGGAGGAGCACATAAACTTTGGTGTCAGCTACTTTCATAGTTTGTAGCACTTTTGTCTTTTTTTAAGGGAAGAAAGGAGGGAATCTAGAAAAATTATTTATTTTAAAACACATTTCCTGCATTGAATTGTGAGAGGTGGTGAGCCCCACCAATCTCCCCCCCCCCCCGACTGTATAGTAGCTAGGATTTAGGTGAATGCTACCCAGTACCAATGGAGCACCCTCCCCACCCTGCCCACACAGCTGATTGCCTTAGCTGCTAAACTACCTTTCGTGTTTCTGCTTCAGTCCAGAATTTTAAAGACTGATATGACAGTCCTCCTAAGAATATTCTATGATTTTGTAGGTTTAATTCATTTATACCACTCTTTTATCCCCAGTAGGGGCCCAAACTGATTTATAACAGTCTCCATTTTATCTTCACAACAACCCTGTAAGGTAGGTTAGGCTGAGTGTGTGACTGGCCCATGGTCAGCAAGCTTCCATGGCAGAGTAGTGATTCAGAACTGGGTCTCCCCATCCTAGTCTCACACTCTAACCACGGTACCACACTGGCCTCATAAACATTTGGGTTTTTGAATGGGAAACACATTTCTATCTCTATTTTTTAAAATTCTTTGTACATCTGAAATGACATTCTCAGCAATGGTACCTTCACTCAAGGGATCTTTGTACCAAATCTGAAACAGGAGAGTATGCGATAGTGCATAAAGAGGATGTATCTTGGGACTGGGTGCAGTGACTGGTACATAGTTTTCTCCAAAGGATAGGAGAAGAAGAAGAGATTGGATTTATACTCTACCCTTTACTCAGACACTCAGAGCGGCTTACAATCTCCTTCCCTTCCTCTCCCCGCAACAGACACTCTGTGAGGTAAGGGGCTGGCAGCTCTTTGAGAACTGTTCTTGAGAGAATAGCTCTGAGAGAACTGTGGCTTGCCCATGGTCACCCAGCAGCTGCAAGTGGAGGAGTGGGGAATCAAACCTGTTTTTCCTAGCTTAGAGTCCATGCTCCTAACCACTACACCAAATTGGCTCTCTTATTCTACTACTGTCATCTGGTGGCATTTTCTCATGTGTGCAGCAATTAAAGGTAGAGTGCTGGGAGCCAGCAGTCTGAAATGTGCTCCACAGTAATTAACTGCTAGTTATTTAAGACATTAAGAAAGTTGTTCCCCCCGGGAACCTAGAACGAAGCATTGGAACTTACCTGAAGGTTTCTTCTCTTCAGTGGGGCAAAGTCATCCAAACTGGTTAGGTCACGCCTCCTCTCGCTATGCAAATCTGTGTAGACTGTATTGGCTCAGAGTGAGGCTGACCCTCCAGTCTTAGTATAGCCCAGCTCCATAACAGATTTTATATCCAACTAGATTTTATCCTGTTTCATTTTATTTTGGGTGGGATGTGGATGACTTCGCCCCACTGAAAAGAAGAAACCTTCAGGTATGTTCCAATGTTTCATTCTCCTTCAGTGGGGTAAGTCATCCAAACTGGTTATATGCCCAAGCTACAACCTGGGTGGGATCCTCATTCTTATTTTTCTGTTCTACCACTGTGCTGCACACCTTTCTACCAGATGAAGCCTCTGCAGATTTTAACTGGTCCCACCTATAGGGTGCGTTCAGATGGGCCATTTAACACCGGCATAAACTGCTCTGGTTGAAACCGGAGCAGTTTGATCCTGACTGTGCAGCACATCGCGATATGCCCGTTCACACTACCGATGCGCAGCAGTGCGCGTTGGCATTAAAAAAAATAAATAAATTTTGCACATGCTCATAGGCAGCTATCCACAGAGTTGAGATCTTCGCACAGGCGCAGAACAGCCCGTCCCAAAAAGAGTGCCCTGAAGCGAAGACTTCCCTTTAAACTTTTACAGCAAAAAGGGCCTCTGTGAGGTCCCGGACTCATCCGCAGTCTAAAACTAAGCATCTTTTTTTAAAAAAAACAAACGCCGGGGCTTAAACAAGCGCACATCAAGGAGGCTTAAAGAAAATGGCGGCCGAAAAGTGGAAGCCTTGGGTTTCCAAACGGAAGTGGCTCTACACCGGCGGAGAGCAATCAGACAGGAATAATGCGGTTGGAACCAGAGCACTCAGGATACCACCACTTGGGGACCTAGTTGCAGAATACAACCGTTAAAGGCTGTTTGCGATGGTTAGGGATGGAAGGCAGATGTTTGCCGTGTGTGTTGTGTCTTGCCATTGACATGTAATGTAAAGCTTGAAACCTCAGCTGGATTGTAATCTGGAACAACACCATTGGCTGAAGCAGGTTTTGTAACCAATGCAATGTAAGGGTCTGTGCTGGAGGGAAGACAAATGATTGGTCGTTATCCATGTAATGTGATTGGATGTTACCTATGTGCGGGCGTGGCTACACCAGCCTGGGAGAGTTTAAAAGGAGCTATGCTCCACTGTTATTTTTGTGTTGTCTGATGCTGTGTGATCTTTGGAAGTTCTCGTTCTCAATAAAGCTGATTCACTTGTTACTTACCTTGTTGTTGAGTTGCATACTTAACAGTGTGATCGCCGTAAGTACACCGATTCCAACTGGCATC